CCCCTCGCGCTGTCATCGGCGAACACCAGCTGCGGCTCCCCCTTGAGCTTGAGCAACTCCGCTAGGGAGAGGGAGACCCCGGTTCCCCCTTCGGGGTCGTCCGCGAACATCTTCGCCAACAGCGCCTGGACATGCACGAGAAAACCAGCGTCCCGTGGGCTAGGTTAGAGTCAGGGTTGGGTTTTCTAGGGTACACGCGTCGCAGAACGACTGGAAATCTGGAAAAAGCAGGGAGACGTGGAAAAAGCGTTCTCGAGACTTCGTCGAGCACACAAAACTCCATAAAAAACATAGGCACATGGCTTGGCGTCAAGGGAATACAATAGCTCGCCATCGAGGCAACAAACATGTCTACCCCAACCAGGGCGACAACTTGGCAATAGAAAACACTGCTGCTAAGGTCGAGTTGTTGGCGATGAAGCGAGAAGGAGGTGGGCACGCAACGAACAAAATTACAAGGGGGGGAGGGGGCGGGGTGTACTGGTAGTCGTGCATGCCGTAGTCGTTATACCATTGACCTCCATCCCTACAAAGCCGGGACGGAGCACGCCGGGTTCTCACCGGATCAGGCTCTCACTACAAGGGGGGAAGGGTTTAAGCTATGGACGCAGAACAAAATCGTCCATCTGGCCCACGTGTGCAACGACCACACCGCAGGAATGGCAGTACTGTGCCCGGCCCGAGGCACACGTCAATACCAGCTTCCCAAAAAATAAAACCGCAGTGGGATCAAAACCAGGGCTGGGTTCCAGGAAGGCCACAAGGGCCCAGAGGTTGAAAACGAACGGGGGTGGCGCTCTCTCGCCATCTCCGATACGACACCAAGATGAAGGAAACAATCCAACAAGATGAAAAAAGGGGGTACAAAATAAAAACGAGCGCAATCGATCTCTGCACATCCAACCCCGCTCGTGCAACCGCCATCATCATCTTGCCTGCATGGCGGCCTTGCTCTTCTTGCCCTTCCCCTTCCCGAGCTCGGCCAGCATCGACATCTCGGCCTCGTCGGCCTCGCCGCTGTCCAAGGACTTTCTCTTCGCGGTGCGCTGCAGGCGAGACACGGCGTCGTACAGGCACTTGGCAATGTCCAGGATGCCGGTAACGTCGCCCCGGGGGTTCCGCACCTTTATTTCAATGTCGGGGGTGGGGGG